TATTTCTTAAAATCAGTTTGTTAAAAAGATATTATGCGTTTTAACTCAATCTTTCTATCTTATTTTTCGAAAAAGATTTTCTTCAAGAATGATTTACTTAAAAACCGTGTATAAAGATAAGTTAATTTTAACTTATTTATCTTTAAGAAAACCTACTTTCTATACAAGTAATACTTGTATAAATAGTATTGATAAAAAGGAGTTTAGGTTTTTTTCTTGTGAGTTTATGCGTGAAGAATTTACAGAGCTTTAATTGTGTAAGTTTGCCAAGCTTATTATCTTGTCATATTAGTTTCGGGTTTCATGCATAGCTTGCCTATCATATACTAGGTGTCAATATTTGTAATTGGTTGGGGTTATTTGGGTGAGAGTGTTTTGGTATTCATTGCATACAAAGAGAGAGCTTCTGGTGAGAAGCTAAGAAGGTTTGTACTTAGGTAGTACGAGAGAATCTAAGTTTGGGACTTCGATTGGGTAGGATAAAATCCTATTCTGTTGCAAGTTCATTCAGGAACTTGTGAGTAGAGGTTTCTAGTATAATAGGTTGTAACTTGGTGTTTGCCCTATTATAGTGAAGTGGTTTGTGTTTGAAATCCCTAAGGTAGGGTCGAGGTTTTACTTCTAGTTAGGCACTAGAAGGTTTCCTCGTAAAATCCTGTGTGCATTGCAAGTTCCTATTTTATTCTGTTTATATTTGCAAAAAGTAGTCACTAGGAACTCACCTACAATTCACCCCCCCCCCCTCTTATAGTGTTCGTCTCAACTAACAATTGGTATCAGAGCAAGGTTCTCACGTACAAGCAGATAACTTTGCTGAGTAAGTTCCTGGAGAGATGAATTACAAGGAGAAACTTGAAGAAGGGTACTCAACCCAACGTCCACCTATGTTCAATGGTAAGTTCTATGCCTACTGGAAGAACATGATGGAGATCTTTATTAAGGCTGAAAATTACCAAGTTAGGCGTATTGAAACTGGTGATTTTGAAATAACTGCAACCAATGACAAACATGAGGTAGTCTCTAAATCCATTTCTGATTATGACAAAGAAGACTATCAGAAACTTGAACTGAATGCTTTAGCTATAAAGTATTTGCACTGTGGACTTGGACCTCATGAACATAATCGTATCATGGGATGCAAGTCTGCTAAACAGATTTGGGATTTACTACAGGTAACTCATGAAGGTACTAATGAGGTAAAACGTTCTAAAATAGATTTATTGATGTCTAGATATGAAAGGTTTGAAATGCAATCTAAAGAAACCATAGAAGAGATGTTTACTAGATTTAATGTTATTATTAATGAACTGAACTCCCTTGGCAGGCATAATCCTATTGATGAACAGGCTAGGAAGATCTTAAGGAGCCTACCACAAGATGAACGCTGGAGATCCAAGGTTACTGCTATGCAGGAAGCTAAGGACTTCACCAAGTTCAATATGGAACAACTAGCTGGATCATTGATGACTCATGAACTTCATCTGAGTTCCAATACTGAAAGTTCCAGAAGCAAGAGTCTTGCACTCAAGGCACGAGACTCAGAAGAATCAGAAGTTGATGAGGAAGAGATGGCTATGCTAGTAAGGAAATTTAAAAGGATGATGAACAATAAGAAGTTTGACAGGAACAAGAAGTACACAAGTTCCAGAAACACAACATGTTTCAAGTGTGGGTCAAAAGATCACTTTATTAAGGATTGTCCTGTACAGGATGGAGAGAAAGGAAAGACAAAAGGCAAGGAGCAATCCAAAGAGTCAAGAGTCTATAAGCCTCACTTCACCAAGGACAATGTGAAGAAAGCTATGCTAGCTGCTTGGGGAGATACAGATTCAGAAGAAGAGGAGGACCAACCATTAGAAGAAACTGCTCATTTGTGTCTAATGGCAAAAACTGATGAAGCTGCCAAACTAAAGGAGCTAGAGTCTGAGGTATGGTTCTCTTACAATGAATTAAAACATCTGTCTAAAGAGAAACTAATATATGCTGTTTTGGAAATTCAAGAAGATTTAAAGGAATTACATAGATCCAAACAGCAAAGTGATAAAGCTTTAGTAACTTACAAAGTGAACAGTGAATGGGTTGATAACATGAAGTTTGACATTCAATACAGGTTCTTTAGTCTGTTCGATGATAATAAAATCTTAAAAGAGACTATTGAAAATCTGAAACATGATAACATACTTCTAAATGTGGAATTGTCTTTGTTAAAACTTGGTATTGATACTCCTAACTCTGAAGTTCCTTCACTTACTGAATATTCGAATTTTGAAAAATTAAAATATGATTTGGAAGATTTAAAAATGGATAAAGCACGTCTTGAGGGGGAACTTGAGAGAGCTAGGAAAGGTAAGCAACCAATAGAGTATAGAGTTCCTGATTGGATCACTAAGGCTCAAACCAAGAGAACTGTAGGTTTAGGTTTTAAAAAGAAGTTCCGGAAAGAAAAGAAGTATGTCAACTTGCCTAGTAGCATTGTTTGTTATTTCTGTGGCAATACAGGACATAAGCAGGTTAAGTGTCCTAAGAAAGAACAAAGCACTCAGAAGAATGTCAAACATGTAGAACAAATCTGGGTCAAGAAAAATGAATCAACTCCTGTTACACAGGAACCCAAGGAAACCTGGGTTCCTAACTTTAACGTTTAACTCTTCTTGCAGGTTCCAGTGAGGGGGAACAACACTTGGTACCTCGACAGTGGTTTTTCTAAGCACATGACTGGAGATAAATCTAGATTTCTCTCACTGGATGCCTACTATGGTGGAACCGTGACTTTTGGTGATAATATGAAAGGTGATATAATTGCTATTAGAAAGGTAGGAAGGTCACGTTCCCATGCCATTGATAATGTATTTTAAGTCGAGGGTCTCAAACACAACTTGTTAAGTATTTCATAGTTTTGTGACAAAGGTAATTCTGTTAGCTTTACTTCAAATAAGTGTAGAATCATCCACAATAACACTGGGAACATTATTTTAGAAGGAACTCGTAAAGGGAACACATATGTTGTGGATCTTAACGAGGTTCCTAACAGCAGTCTAACATGTCTAAGTGTTATTGAGGATGATCCTCTATTATGGCACAAAATATTTGGCCATGCAAGATTTTCTCTACTTGATAAACTAAGATCTAAGAATTTAGTGGAAGGACTTCCTTGCATTAAGTTCCTGTATGACAAAGTGTGTGAGGCTTGTGTTAGAGGAAAACAGACTTGAAGTTCCTTCAAGTCCAAAAAGATGGTTAGTACCAAAAGTCCTTCGGAACTCATTCATATGGATCTCTGTGGTCCAATGAGAATCCAAAGTAGAAGTGGTAAGAAATATGTAATGGTTATTGTTGATGATTTTTCAAGGTTCACTTGGGTTTTCTTTCTTGTAAGCAAGGATGAGACGTTTGATGAATTTGTTGCTTTTGTAAAGAAATAACAGAGAAGAACAGGTAATCAATTGATACATCTTAGTTCAGATCATGGAACAGAATTCAAAAATTCCAAATTTGATGAATTTTGTACCGAGTATGGTATGGATCACAATTTCTCTGCCCCAAGAATTCCACAACAGAATGGAGTGGTGGAGCGCAAGAATAGGATCCTTGAAGACATGGCAAGAACAATGCTGATATCAAGAAGGCTGCCTAGGAACTTCTGGGCAGAAGCAGTAAACACAGCATGCTATATACTTAACAGGGTATCTGTTAGTGCCATCACCAACAAAACTCCCTATGAACTCATGAAAGGGAGAAAACCTAATATTTCTTACTTCAGATCTTTTGGATTTAAATGCTTTTTTCACAATAATGGTAAAAGATACTTGGGAAAATTTGATGAACGTAGTGATGAGGCAGTGTTCCTAGGATATGCCTCGAATAGTAAAGCTTATAGAGTCTATAACAAAAGGACTATGAGTGTTGAGGAGTCTGTACATATCATATTTGATGAAACTGAACATTTGGTTGATGTACAGGATTGTGATGATGATTTCGAAATTGGACTTGTGCGTAAGCAGAATCCAGATGAGGAACCATCATCACTGCAGAAGCAGCAAGTGGAAATTACAGAAGTAACGAATCCTGAAGCAAATACTGAACTAGAAATAGAGAATGCACCAGGAACTCCACTTCAAGAACAGACTGATGAACATAACAAAAACCAGAATGTGGAAACACCTGAAGAAGTTCAAACTGAGATCCATGACCAAGTTCCTACAGAAGAACCAGTCAACAACAATGAAGAACGATTGTATCCAATCAAAGACTTTACACCAAGGCCCTGGAAATATCAGAAATCACATCCAGTTGATGCAATCATGAGTGATATCACAAAAGGAACTCAAACCAGATCTCAGCTTAGGAATTTCTGTGCATTCAATGCATTCCTCTCATCCATGGAACCTAAGAACTATGTTGAGGCTTTAACTGACGCTGACTAGATTAATGCTATGTAAGCTGAACTAAATGAATTTGAAAGAAACAAAGTTTGGCATCTGGAACCTAGACCTAAAGACAAGAAGTCCATTGGACTAAAATGGGTATTCAGAAACAAACTAGATGAACATGGTATTATTGTCAGGAACAAAGAAAGACTTGTTGTACAAGGTTTCAACTAGCAGGAAGGAATCGATTATGAAGAAGTCTGTACTGCTTATATGGGATTTAGGCTGTACCAGATGGATGTTAAATGTGCTTTCTTAAATGGAAACTTAAATGAGGAAGTCTATGTGGAACAGCCTCCTGGATTTGAAAATCCAGAGTTCCCAAACCATGTCTATAAGCTTGACAAAGCTCTTTATGGGTTAAAGCAAGCTCCTAGAGCATGGTATGAAAGATCATCTAAGTTCCTTTTGGCTAATGGTTTTAAACGTCGTAAAATTGACAAAACATTGTTTTTGAAGTCAAATGGAACTGATATCTTAGTTGTACAGATTTATGTTGATGATATTTTATTTGGTGAAACTAATGAATCTCTATGCAAGTACTTTGCTCACCTTATGAGTGGAGAATTTGAAATGAGTATGACTGGAGAATTAAATTTCTTCCTCGGATTGCAAATCAAGCAAACTGAAGAAGGAATCATGATTCATCAACAAAAGTATATCAAGGAACTGATCAAGAAATACAAGTTAGAAACTGCCAAAACCAATAATACCCCTATGGGAATTGCCACTAGATTGGATGAAGATCTATCTGGAACTTGCATAGATCAATCTATGTATCGAGGTATGATAAGCTCACTACTTTACTTAACAGCTAGAAGACCTGACATATCTTTTAGTGTAGATCTGTGTGCCAGATTCCAAGCAAATCCAAAGGAGTCTCACTTGATAGCAGTAAAAAGAATCCTAAGATACTTGAAAGGAACTGATGATCTGGGTCTATTCTATCCCATAAGTGATTCTTTTGATTTAAATAGTTTTACTGATGCTGACTATGCAGGTGATTTGGTTAATAGAAAAAGCACTTCAGGCATGGTACAGTTTTTAGGTCCTTGTTTAGTTTCTTGAGGTTCCAAGAAGCAAAACACAGTTGCTTTATCTACAGCAGAAGCTGAATATGTGGCAGCAGCAGCATGTTATTCACAAGTTCTATGGATAAAACAACAGGTCAGAGATTTTGGTATTATTTTTAAATGTGTACCTTATTACTGTGATAATACAAGCGCTATATGTATTTCTAAGGATCCAGTTCAACACTCAAAGGTAAAACACATCCACATTAGGCATCACTTTTTAAAAGATAATGTGGAGCAAGGGAATATAAAGTTAGAATTTTGTCAAACTGAAAATCAAATTGCAGATATTCTAACCAAGCCCTTGAACAGAGAAAGATTTGAGAAATTGAGACTGGAACTTGGGATGATCAAGCTGAAGTGCTAGCCTCTGAAGTTCCAAGATATGGCAAAGTCAAAAATAATGTAAATAGAGCAAAAAGAGCATTTAACACAATTATGGTGTGCTAAACATAGCTGAAGTGTCACCGTTGTTAATCACTGAAGGTAAGTTCATTAAACACTCAAATAATTTTGCTTGTAGTAATGTACATTGCATATGTGTAAAAAGCGTGTTCCAATTGCGTATTTGTGAACATAAACCCTGTTTTTGGAAATTAAATGAATTTGGAAAGAAAAGGATTTTTGGTAAATTCATCCTGCGTAATTTAATTTTAGAAAATTAATTGAACTTGTTCAATTAATGACTGCACAGTAATCTCCTTAAATCCTTACACCGATTCATTAAATACAAAAGGCACCCACAACCACCTTACATCATCACACTGTCAAATCAAATTTACTTTACTGTAAAAAATTTCTACACCCTTCTAAAACCTCGTGAAGAAGAAAACCATGGCCATTATTACCTCTCTAAGCTCCTCTGAAAATTCACACAACAACCATCCCTCTGAGCAAGAAGAAGTCTCTTCACTTCCGATTATTTCTTGCACCGAAACACAAATCATACCTCCTTCTTCATCCACCATGCAAAACCCTAACCCTGAACAGTTGGAGAACATCACCAAGTCCGTACTTGACAAATTGAAGGAATGGAAGGCAAATAAAAGTCAAGAAAAGACTCTGGAGGATCACATTGAGGAAGTAGAGGAGTTTTCTCGTAACATGGATGAGGAGGGATCACAAAAGGAAAAATCGGAGGACGAAGAAGAAATTGATCAAGCTGAGCTTGAATCACAGGCAGGAAGGTATGTTGTTGGTCACCGTATTGATTTATATTGGTGTAGAAGTGCTAGGTTTCTAGAATTTGTTGATTTGATTAAGTTCCAAGGCTGGGAGCACTTGTTGGTTAAAGTTTCTAATAATTTCATGTATCCGATTGCTATGACTGAATTTTGTCAAAATTTTCAAGCAAAATTGGGAATAATTACTAGTAAGGTTGGTGGTATAAACATTGAATTAGATGTGGAGACCCTTAGCAATATTCTGAAAACCCCAATGGAAGGGTATGAGACTTACATTAAGGGTAAGTCAAGTGTTAAGGTTGGGAATTACTTGAGTGGTGACATAGTTGAAGCCCTGGGAGGAAAAAGGGGGAAGAACATTATGAGTCATAATGATCTAAGTCCTTTAAATAAGCTATTGTTCAATCTTGTCAAGAAAACCATCTTGCCAAGAACTGCAAAGAAGGGTGAAGCATGTTTGATGGACATGGCTGTGATTTTCTGTCTGTCAAGGAAAATTAAAGTTAATTTTCCCTCACTTATGTATCAGCACTTGGTACACTGTGTTCCAAGTGGAACAAAAGTAGGATATGGTGCTATTTTGTCTACTGTCTTTGAAAGTCTCGGGGTGCAGTTGAAAGGAAAGTATGTGGGCTTGGATGAGAAGCCAGAGAATGTGATTAATGCAGATACTCTGGCTGGTCTGAGCTTAGAAGTGGTTCAAGGAAAAATTCAGAAATTAGAGAAAGAAGAAGAGAAGGCTGAAAAGAGTACTGGGAAGAGAAAGGAAAAGGAAGTGAGTGACAAACCTGTGAGAAAGAGCAGGAGGCTATCTACAAATTCTTTCCCTCAGACCAGCTTGGAGAAACCATTGGAGCTGGATGCTGATGAGAAAGTACTTGATGGGCAAGTGGCTAAACTGATGGATAGAATGGAAAGGGTTGAAATTCAAGTCAAGGAATCAGTTGGGAAGGTTCAGTTTCAGAAGCTGGACAAACTGGTGCAGGAGCAGGAGCAGGGCAAGGTACTAAAGGAATAGAAGAAACTGGTGCAAGCACAGGACAAGGCTCTGAAGGAACAGAAGGAGGATTTCCAATAGAAGCTACAGAGTCTTGAGCAAAGGCTGGAAGCTCTCATTTCACAACAAAAAGAAGACAGCAAACAGATTCTGGACCTCTTGCAAACTTAGCCATTTCCCTCTTAGCCTTCCTAAAACAAGCCTACCTTAACTTCCTTTAGCAGTCATGAACAATTTCAGTTTATGTTTTTAAATGCTTAAATTTTTTTTTTGGTTTGTAATAACCTTTTATCTAGCAGGATGATGAATCTTTTGTTTTTAATGAATGCTTTTGGAATTGTCTATACATATGTGCTTTAGTATGTTATGAATGCTTAAATAGGAGAGTGGAACTTTCCTAAGGGAAGTTAGCAGCGCTGCCTTCAGATTCCCACACTCGATGAATTGCTTGTGGGGATGTGAGTAGATGCTTAATAAACTTGAAAAAGCATGACTTTTTGATAATGCCAAAAGGGGGAAAAGAAGAAGCAAACATGGAGGCTGAAGTTGTTCTGGGTTCCAGTTGAGAAAGTATCAGAACTTTCTTCTGATATGATGCTGATAGATTAGATTAGTACTTTCTTAGCTATTTTTGTTTAATTTTTTCTTTTAGTTTCTGTTTTAATTCAGTTGTGTGTTTATTTTCTGTTAATAAACCAAAAATACAAAAATACGTCCTTCTATTTTGCTTTAACTTTCTCTAGAGTTTGCTTAAGTTTGTCATCATCAAAAAGGGGGAAATTGTTGATGTTTAAAGGTTTTGATGATGAGGAACTTAAACTACAGCAAACTCATTTAATAAAGGTTTTTCAAGTGTTTGTTTAGTTTAGGTGAAATTGATCTTGGAGATGGAAGAAGTAACTGGAACTAAGAAGACTTGAAGAGATCTTTATTCAAAAAGGTTATTTGAAACAGAAGAAGAGTTCCCTTACAGAAACTGAGTTCCTTAACAGGAACGTTCCTTCACAGGAACTTGAAGATGGCTGACTAAGATCTTTGGTGGACCTTAGTAAGGGTAGAGCCCAAGTAATCCTACCAGTACAAAAATGCAGCGCAGCAATGACTTAGTTAAGATTTTATCTTCTAGATTCATTGTTAAATATGTTAAGTAGGATATGTATGAAATCTATTAGACGTGTGGCAAGTTAGCTTGGCAAATATATTAAAATCGGAAAAGATAAAAGATAGAATTCGAAAAAGATTTTCAATAAATGTTATTTCTTAAAATCAGTTTGTTAAAAAGATATTATGCGTTTTAACTCAATCTTTCTATCTTATTTTTCGAAAAAGATTTTCTTCAAGAATGATTTACTTAAAAACCGTGTATAAAGATAAGTTAAGTTTAACTTATTTATCTTTAAGAAAACCTACTTTCTATACAAGTAATACTTGTATAAATAGTATTGATAAAAAGGAGTTTAGGTTTTTTTCTTGTGAGTTTATGCGTGAAGAATTTACAGAGCTTTAATTGTGTAAGTTTGCCAAGCTTATTATCTTGTCATATTAGTTTCGGGTTTCATGCATAGCTTGCCTATCATATACTAGGTGTCAATATTTGTAATTGGTTGGGGTTATTTGGGTGAGAGTGTTTTGGTATTCATTGCATACAAAGAGAGAGCTTCTGGTGAGAAGCTAAGAAGGTTTGTACTTAGGTAGTACGAGAGAATCTAAGTTTGGGACTTGGATTGGGTAGGATAGAATCCTATTCTGTTGCAAGTTCATTCAGGAACTTGTGAGTAGAGGTTTCTAGTATAATAGGTTGTAACTTGGTGTTTACCCTATTATAGTGAAGTGGTTTGTGTTTGAAATCCCTAAGGTAGGGTCGAGGTTTTACTTCTTGTTGGGCACTAGAAGGTTTCCTCATAAAATCTTGTATGCATTGCAAGTTCCTATTTTATTCTGTTCATATTTGCACAAAGTAGTCACTAGGATCTTACCTACAATTCACCCCCCCCCTCTAGTAGTGTTCGTCTCAACTAACAAAGTGCTTAGCCTCCGTGCCTAAGTTACCCAAATACTTTCATCATGGAGTCAACCATTGAGATAGCCTAGGATGGATTAATCCTTACACCTTGAGAGATAGTATCAAACAACATTTGACTAAGCTCATTAAACATGCACCTTCACTTCGATTTCTTTTCGCGTCTTTCTTTTTTCGGGAGAAAGTCGGTACCCTCCACAAAAATTACGGAAAATTTTTGCTTTTTTGCGAGTCGCACAATCATAATACAATGCACACACGGGTCATGATTCACACGTGTCATTTCACTTTGAGTCGAGTCAACCTCGAGTCAGTTGATCACAGAGAGTCAATTTTATACCTTGAGTCGTGTCAAGTCGATGAGTCAAGCAACATTAAGCCTTAGGTCAAACCTAAGATAATTAAAAAGATTGGAAAAGTTCTATAGTCAAAATAAATACAGGTGCAGCAGAATAGGGAGGACCCTACTCCAATTCCTAGCGCCAGAAATTTCTCAGCAACGACAGAGCTCGAGCCTCTCAGAAAGGTGATTTCGACCTCATACAGCAATTTCGGGTTCCTTGGTACGCTAGTTAGCCCCTATAAGCATTTTGACATGATTGAGTAGTCGATTTGATTACAACCGCAAGTAAGTGATCGACCTGACGAAATATCGTCTCACTTAGCTTAAAGCGCCTAAGAATTGGCTCATCACGGAGACACCGACATACTGGTTTTAGCGGAAGCCAAGTTCAAGCGAGATTTAGAGATCGACAAAACGTTGGTCTTTGGAAATTTTTCTTCAGAATATTATC